TGCCCCTGGGATGGGGTCGGTGAACTTTCCGGGCTTGCTAGTCAAGCCTGGAAACATCAATCGCAAAGGGGAGGAAACTTTAACTGTCCCAGCAAACGAGGATGATTATAACGACCAAACGGGCGGGTCCCAAAAACGCGTTCATGATCCTATGACGCTATGCCCCTGGGATGGGGTCGGTGAACTTTCCGGGCTTGCTAGTCAAGCCTGGAAACATCAATCGCAAAGGGGAGGAAACTTTAACTGTCCCAGCAAACGAGGATGATTATAACGACCAAACGGGCGGGTCCCAAAAACGCGTTCATGATCCTATGACGCTATGCCCCTGGGATGGGGTCGGTGAACTTTCCGGGCTTGCTAGTCAAGCCTGGAAACATCAATCGCAAAGGGGAGGAAAATTTAATTGTCTGAGCAAAAATAGCATTTTTCGTTGATCAGAAAGGAATTCCCGTGCAATAAGGAAGTGGGAAAATTTGTAAATGAAATGAATAGGATCGTGGATGGATTGCAATACAATGTCACTGGTTAAAATTAGAATCTCGTCAATGTAAATTAAAAATCGACATATTTAAAACGATTTTATATTATTTTGTTCTGGGGGTTTTTTTTTATTTTGTGAGAGAGAAATCAATTTGACGAAGAGGAAGCTTTAGCTCCTCGTCAAATGTTATTCATCGGAATTAAGATCGCATTTAGCGAAACTCGGTGAAAAAAACTAAACAACAAAAATCAATTCTGATATATATATTAATATATATATAAAAAATAAATTAGCTTTATTAATTTAATTAACAGATTTTACTTATACTATTATAATAATATATATATTACTTTAATTTCAAAAAAAAATTTATAAAATCAAAATAAAATTAATAATTAAATTTTAATCGAAGAGCGCGATTTTTTAACAACTAACGGTTGTTGTTTTTGAAAGTTTGGTAAGTGGTTTACAAAGTTGATAGCAGGCTTGCTTCAAAACAACGAAAATGACGACACCCGAGACCATTCATTTAACCATTTGAAATATATACAGTAAATGCGAAAAGTTAAAAACAAATTTGATTGGTTAACCTGTTCTATAAACCTTTTTTAACAAAAGAAATTCAAGTTCTTTTAAAGCAGCATACATCATACATGACGTGTTTGATTTTTATCCAAGTGCAAACATATACACTTTGTTGGATGCTAAATTATGTAAATACTACATTATAAAATATGCCCTACCTCCCTTGACCGGCCTGAACCTGGCGGTTCCCTTTCGACTCATTTGAGTGAAACATTTAAAATGAGTCGGTGTACGTGATCATTAAAAGAAGAGATGGGTTTTTGATTCTGAAATGCAAAGGCTTGTTTACAGGTAAATTTTTTTGAGGTTTCAACACGTCTTACATAATATCTTATGTATGTATTCTCATATCCTTCTCAGAGAAATTACCTACTATATAAATTAGTGGATGAAATCTTAGTAAACGCTGCTGGCAACAACGTATGTTTATTATAAACGTCTATTAGTTACTTGAACGTTAAATTGTGTGTTGATTATTTAAAAATTTTTTCGTTAATGTCAGGTTCGAGACGATATTAAAGTTGATATTGACGAAGAAGGACGTCAAATTTCCATCTTTAATAACGGAAAAGGAATCCCTATTGAA